CCCTCCCTCCCTGGAGCAGGGATATCCCATTTGTCCCATGTCCCATGGGATGCCCTGAACTCAAAGGGTTCCCCTTGAAATTGCTTTGGACTAATAAATGCACAGGCAGTGACACGAAATAGGCAGGGTGCCGCCACAAGGGCTGCTCTGGGGTCAAATACATCTTCCTGGGGAGGCTGGAGATAAGAGGTCGCTCATCCCTCCTCTGCCTCTGCTGGAGAAGTCTCTCAAGCCCAGGACTGGTGTCAATGAGCTGGGCAGGGAAAGGACACTGCCAGGACCCTCCTGGTGCTGGGAGCAGGGTGTCCCAGGATGCAGTCCCCTCCTCAGTGCCACACAGTCCCTGGGGCAGCCAGAAACACTGTGGGTTCATGCCAGCCCTGGAGCTGGCCCCTGGCAGCTGGAAGAAGAATCGCCCAGAGGGGACAGGGTTGCCACCAGCACTGCACTGCATTGCAGGTCTTCACCCATGGAGATCATCAGGAGGAGAGGGCAGGTTTGCAAAATGCTCTTTGTAAATTTGCTGCCCACTGGCACACAGCACCCAACTCCCCAGGGCTGCTTTGGGAGAGTCAGCCCCCCCCAAAAAACCTTGAGCCTCGCCCCCATGGATCCATATCCAGGACAGGCTTTAAAGCTGCATTGTTCCTACCAGCTGCCAGGTCAACGGGGGTGGTGGAAAGTCTTGGGACAATCAAACAACTTTGCAAACCAAGATAAATTAATAAAAGAAGTAAGTACTTCTGAGCAAGCTGTTCCAGTTCTTCTGGGAGGAAGTGACGCCAGCCCAGCCTTTGGCCCTATATTTAGAAAAAAATCTAAACCAGACATTGATAATATTATTAAAGACAGGAAGGAGTAAAAGAAGACATAGCGTTGCTGGGATGACTGATCTATTTACGTGAGACGGCAGGAGGAGTGCTGTGAGAAAGGTGTCTCAGGTCAGGAGAGCCTCTGCGGGCTCCTCCCCTCAACCAGCAGAAGACGCCTGACACAGCAGGTTCGAGCAGTCCTAACCCAGTTTAACAAGTGGTAGAGGAGGGAGAGGTGGTTAATAAAACATTGGCTGCTTCTCCCAGCGATGTGGAGGTGGTACAGGAACAAGAGCTCTTCTGCTGCCTTTTGTAGCATCACCTGGAAGGGAAATGCTGGCCAAGGGACAGAGCATTGGCTGGGCAGTGCTCCATTTGTCTGTGCAGAACCAAGAGGTGTTAAGTTAGGTAAGGACATCAATGGCTCTGAAACCAGTGTGACCTTGAG